AAAAAAAAAATTTTTTTTTTTTTTTTTTTTTTTTTTTTTTTTTTTTGAGGTGGAGTCTCGCTGTATAGCCCTGGCTGGCCTGGGATACTGTATAGACCAGGCTTGTTTAGAGCTCACAAAGATCTATCTCTCTCTGCCTTGCAAGTACTAGGATTAAAGGTGTGGACCATAAAAACTAGCACTTATTATTTATTATCACTATTTTTGAGGAAGAGTTTCATGTTCCCCTACGTGGCCTGGGACTAAGTAGCCTGGGGATGACCTTGAGCTTCTTCTTCTGTTCCTCCTGCCTCAACCTTTCAAATGCTAGTATTGCACGCATGGACTACCATGCCAATTTTGTGTGGCTGAGGATTAAACCCAAGGCTTCATGCATGTAAGCCAAGCATTCTACCACCTGAGCTATATCCCCAGCTGCAGATAATCACTTTTGAAGTTGAAAAATAATTTCTTTGTTTTAATTCTTACTAAGCATAGAAATAAATATTTAATTCTATTATTTGCATTTCAGGCTTGGGATGATGTCGAACGAAAAGAAAAACCTAAAGAAGATGCATATGAATATAAGAAGCGTCTGACGTTAGACCATGAGAAGAGTAAGCTGAGCCTCGCTGAGATTTATGAGCAGGAATATATCAAACTCAACCAGGTAAGTTAAAGTCCAAGGCAAGGCTGTGCTTACTAAAGACAACCCAGATCTTCAGTCAGTCCTGATCTAATCTAGCTCTCAGACACTGTTTAACAGCACATGCTGGGAATAGAGGGCTCATAATGTTCCAACTGAATACGAGGGCGGTGGGGTTTGCTCTGCAAAGAGTTTTGGGAATCATAAATTTGTATAATCAGCTATTGACTTTTCAGCAATTATAGGGTATTGTAATTCTAAAATCATATTTCCTTGATATTTGAAGTAATATATTTTATATCTTTATGAAGTGATCTTGATCTTTAGTCTCTTGTTTGTTTTATTTTTCTTAAATTCTAAATTAATTTCTAGTTAAATAGCAGGACAAGGTCATATCCTGGGAAGACTTAATCCTTCACCTGGGTTTATTGGGATGAGTGCTGATGATACATGTTATCTGACTTGAGCCACAGGCACAGAGAGCCAGTCACTTCTTACTCCTGTTTTCCCCATCCCCCCATGCATGTGTGTGCCTTCTGCGCCTCTGTGTCTTAATTATGAATAACAAAAGCAAGCAAACAAAAGACCATCTTAGCCTTTCACAGTGCACATTTAGGGCTAGGGAAAGAACAAATATAAAATTTTGACGTAGAATTAGATGGCTGTCCTGTGTATATCATTGTGATTGATTAATCTGAGTGACTCTTAACAGTGTACATTCACATAACATAAAAATAAACATTCTTTTACGTAAACAGTTTCTTAGGTACGATGGTGCACTCCTGAAATCCTAGGACTCAGGAGACCAGTAAGGACGCTCATATTTTGAAGTGGTTCTGTGCTATATAGTGAGACTGTCTTGAAAAACCAAAAATAAGTAAATGAATAATTCCGAAGCGCCTACTGTAGCACGTACTGATTTGGGCCATGCCTCCTTGCCCACCAGTCTGCTGCTTCCTAGTCCTCCCCTTCTTTGCGCTATTACTGCGCTGTGTGTGTGTGTGTGTGTGTGTGTGTGTGTGTGTGTGTGTGTGTGTATCTACTTTAATTTCCTTGGCTCTCTATCTAGGAGGGAAATGCTAATTCTCTTTAACCTTCTGTGAACTGCTAAACATTTTGCCACTGGCTACATCATTTTGCTTCGCTACCAGTAATTCCCAGGGTTTTCTTCCTTCTCACCAACATTTGTTAATTTTTCTTAAACTTAGTGATCTTACTGTCAGTAGTCTAACTCTTGGTAGAAAATACCAAAGCATTTAAACTGTTATTTCTAAATTTCAGAGGTGTACTAAAATGTGCGCCATGTGTTCTTTGGAGGCACTGGCACCATTATTTATGGTGCTGAGACCTATAATTTGCTTTTAGGACATTCTTCTTTTTTCCTTCCTTTGTTAAACAAGGTAACACTGTGTAACCAATGAGCTTGTACTGCTCCTGCCTCAGCCTCCTGGGTGCTGGGAATTACTGGTAGCACTATCATCCCTGACTGTTAGCCTTGTCTGACCCCAGACTCACAGAGATCTTGTCTCTGCCCAGTGCTGGGGTCAAAGATGTGCACCACCACATTGGGGTGGAACATTGATGGGTAGTTTAAGCTGTGGTTCTGAAAAACTGGGGGCAACCTCGGCCTGTAGTGTTTTATCTGTGGTACACTGCTAAGCTGCTTTGTCTGATGTTGACTTTGCTCATTTAGCAAAAAACAGAAGAAGAAGAAAATCCAGAACATGTAGAAATTCAGAAGATGATGGATTCTCTCTTCCTAAAATTGGATGCTCTGTCAAACTTTCACTTCATCCCCAAACCGGTATGTGAATTAACAGTGCAGTATTGAACTTAATAACTCTGTGTGTGAACTTAATAGCTCCAAGCTCTGGGAAGCCTGGCTTTTCAGTTGGCGTCAGGACTTACCCCTGCAAGTTACTACAGGACTTCTGTAAAGGAGGGTCACTTTGTCTTTGGTATTGCTGCATCCTAATCTCTAGCAGGCCCCTGGCCACTTTCAGCTCTTAGCCTCAGCGATCCTCCTCTTGAGTCCATCCCTCACATTGATCAGTGCCTTCTGCAAGTCATATCATGTCTTGCTTACATCACATTCATTGCCCAAAACACTACGCTGGTTCTTACTGTTTCCATTTTACAGATGAGCATACTGAAGTTGGAATGCAGGGGGCCAGAACTGGGCCCATGTGCTCTGCACTGCTCAGTGTGCTCCATCCAGTTCCAGACTTCTCATTCTCCTTTCCAGTCCTAAGTCTTTCCTGGGTTGGCTGAGAATCCATAGACTCTGTGAAACTCCATCCGATAACAGACATCTGTGGTTCCATGAAACAATTTTGAACCATCATGTTGGTGCTTGCTCACACATTGCCCTTTATTGTCTCTTTTGAATGTCATGAACTAAAGACTAGTCTAGATGTCAGAGCATGCAGAGACTGAAGGAAAACATCGGGTATTTTTCTCTATCGCTCTCCACCTCCCTATCTCTTGAGACAGGTCTCTTCATTAACTCTGAAGGTCACTGTTTCAGATAGACTAACTCAGTGAGTTACCGGACTCTGCCTGTCTCTTCTTTGCCAGCACTGGACTTAAAAGGCATGCACAGATATACCCATTTGTTACATGGAGACTGGTGATTTGAATTGATATCCTCCCACTTCTATAGCAAGCACCTAACCCACTGATCCATTTCCCCGGCCTCTATTTGCCTTGGTTTAAAATATACTTTTGTTGTGTTTTGCATTTTACTTTACAGGTCCCTCTAATATTTTCCTTTTCATATTCAGGTCTGTGTCTCATATTATCTCTGCAGACATGAACTGTGTAGCAGCTGCCATGTTTTATTGTATTTTGAGATTGCCTCCTTGTTTCTCCCTGTTTCTTTTTGGTTGTCAGGGAGTACAGTATTTCTCCTAAATATCTGAACAGTGACCAGTTGGAAGAGATTTTTTGTTTTGTTTCATATTTCACATTTCTTCCTGCTTAGAATGTAGGGTCTTGGCCTGTTTCTAATGTTTTTCCTCTTATAGCATTTCCCCAGAACATTGCCCTTTGTGCCTGGTTTGGACACTGGCATCTTGAAATGACAGTAGCTAAGTTTACCCATACAGTCCCTCACAAGATTGAGCCTGTTAATGTTCCCTCATATACGTTCTTTTAGTTTTTATAAACAGTTTCTTTCCACTTCATGCAAATATATGAAGATAGGTTTCTAGTAGCTTGAATAGTTTTTAACAGGTAATCTATATTTTTCTCATAAGCATTTTTTATATTTCTTCAGAAAGCTTAGATTTTTCCAAAACGAAAAGCAAGGTAACAAATTAAAGTAGATGGGATTGCTTGAGAATGTCTACATAGTGGCATGAAGTAGTATTTGACTGTAGCCAAGGTGTTGTGTAGATATGTAAATGTAAATGCTATTGGAATGTTTTGGTGTTGCTCGTTGTCTTGATTGTCATTCCAGTCAGCACAGTAATGTAATGTGGTTTTTTGTTTGTTTTGTTTTCCTTTTTTTTTCCAGTGTGTGATTTAAAAAAAAAAAAAGATTCTCTCATGCAATACATCCTAACCACAGCTTCTCTTTCTACTCCTCTCAATTCACCACCCACATCCCCTCTCTCTCAGATCTACCCCCTACTTCATTTCCCCCAAGAAAAGAGTAGGCCTCCAGGGATCTCAAGCAAAACAGCACAAGATGCTGTAAAACTAATTATAGTTACAATTCCTCACACCAAGTCTGGATGAGGCATCTCGGGAGGAGGAAAGGGTCCTAAGAGCAGGTGAAAGAGTCAGACCCCTACTCGTACTGTCAGGGATCCCCAAAACACCAAGCCAACAGCCACAACATAATCTGCAAAGGAATCAACACCATAAAAAACTTCTTGGACAATATTCGCTCCATTTCCTTCTCCCTACTAAATGCTTTCTTACTTTTCTAGCCTGTTCCTGAAATTAAAGTTGTATCTAATCTGCCAGCCATAACCATGGAGGAAGTGGCCCCAGTGAGTGTCAGTGATGCAGCCCTTCTGGCCCCAGAGGAAATTAAGGTAAGAAGCCAGCATGGAAATGTTTGGTGACTCTGTACGTAAGTTCATTGCAGTCAGATCTGCATTATTTAATGTGACTTTGAGTTTTAGGTTTTTTTTCTAATATATCTCAGTAACTTCTAGGTATAGTCTCCCCACACCCATGTAACTTGAGTTGTACATCCATGAATTCAGCCAACTGCACGTTGAAAATACTCCGCAAAGCAAGTTAAGTCTGTGTTGAGCATGTGGAGACGTTACAACAGCTATTTGTGTGTAGTGTTTTCACTGTCCTAGGGCTTCATGTACTCTATGAACAGTTTGAAGCGTACGGAAGCATGGAATAGGGGATATAAATGCATGTGGGAACCTGGGGTGTCTGCAGGGCCCTGGGACTGACCCTCTGTGAATACGGATGCCGACATAGTGAGACAGATGATCAGCTGTACAATACTTAAAAACTAAGCTTGTGTATTCGCTCATCAGTGAAGGTTGCAGGTGAGAGTATTACAAATGCTTTAAAGTGCTTGTTTTAGCCTGGTAAAAATCCAGTGATTCTTTACTATTAGCCCACCCCACGCAACTTTGTCCACAGCAATCACAAAGTGCAGTGAAAGTTCGCAGTGTTGAAGCTTAGAATCCAGCAGACCATTTAGACACTGGGTACACCAGGTGCTGGCATCCTCTGACTCCTGAACATGCAAATTCTTCCCGTACAGAAAGAGTGGCTTCTGGCAGGCCCACATCTACTCTGCTGGAGTAGCATCACACCCCTTTTTCTGCCCTACCTGCTTTGTTGCATGTATAGCCAGCACTTCTGTCAGAGCCCCTGCCGTCTGTGGTAACCTTGCATGAGGAGCTGACAGCTCAGGAGAAATGAGGAAGTCAGTCTTTGCTGGAGAAAAGTTGCCCTGCTTTCTCTCTTCCTTGATTTCTGGGACCTACTGATCCAGTCCCAGGGCCTGGATAGTCACAGCTTAGTGCCAAGGCTGAGTCAGGCATGTCCTGTGACCCATGGTGGAGACCACCTGTTGGCTGGTACAGGGGCCCTTGAGAGCCTAGCTCTCTGTTTCCTGTGTGAGTTCATTTGGGCCTGAGCCCTTCCTTCAGGCCAGAATACAGTGTAAGCTTTAGAGTTACCAGAGCTCCTTGGAACCAAACAGGGCTTGCTCTGCATCCTCAGACATCCAGCCATTGGCTGTTGTGTGCTCATCTTTTATCCCTCAGCAGATGCTGGAGTGGGATAACTAGTATGGTGTTGTTTAGGGTTCTTTTTTCTTTTTTCCTAATAGGAGAAAAATAAAGCTGGAGATCTAAAAACAGATGCTGAGAAAACAGCTACAGATAAGAAACGAGAACGGAGGAAAAAGAAATATCAGAAGCGCTTGAAAATAAAGGAAAAGGAGAAGCGGAGAAAATTGCGTGAGAAGAGCAACCCAGATCAGCCTGGGAAGTCCAGCAGAGCAGCAGCTTCAGAGAAACTGAAACAGTTGACCAAGTCAGGCAAAGTGTCATTGTTAAAGGTAAATAAGGAGAGGCCTGTCGGGGTGCATGGCATACCTTGGGCTATTTCTCAGCTAGGGTGTCGATCTGCTTCTGGGTTCTAGAGGCACACTGCTCGAGAGTGGCTTCAGCACCCTACAGACTTTCTGTAGACCTTTATAATCATAGGTCTGGCAGCCTGTTTTCTACTCTCTTCTCCCTTAAGATACAAGGCTGTTATAATAATGGAATGTATTTGTAAAGGTAGCCCATTGAGTTCTTGTAGTGGCTTTTCATGTTTATGCATTTATTCATTATTGTAATCAAAATATACTGATAGACTTTGGCTTTTCTCACATAAGCACATTTTTATAACATCTCTGTTCTGTTTTAACTGCAGGATGAACGAAAAGATAAGCCCTTAAAGTCATCTCAAGCATTCTTTTCTAAGTTGCAAGATCAAGTAAAAATGCAGATTAACGATGCAAAACAACCAGGAAAGATAAAGAAGAAAAAGCAGGACATTTCTGTTCATAAATTAAAGCTGTAATATAGTTGAGTTTAGTGTATAAATCTGTAAGTTTCTGTCATTATTTTGTTTTATAATAAAATTCTCAAGACCTCTCTTAGTTTGTTTTGTGTTGTTTTGATAAAGCCCATGACCAAAACAACTTGTGGAAAAAAAGGCTAATTTCATCTTTTAGTTTACAGTTTATTGCTGAAGGAATTCAAGACAGTAACTGGCAGCAGGAACTGAAGCACAGACCAGGGAGAAACACTTCTACTGGCTTGCTCCCTGTGGCTTTCCCAGCTTGCTTTCTCACACAACACAGAACTTCTTCCTCAGGGGTCTTACCATCCATAGTGGGCTGGGTCAATCATTAATTCAGGAAATGTTCCACAGACTTCCCTACAAGAGTCTTTAGAGGCATTTTCTTAATTGAGGTTCTTTTTTCCCAGATGACCCTAGCTTGTATTTAAGCTGATAATAAGTAAATAACCAGCTCAGACACATCTTTGCCTGATGGGAACTGTTCACAGGGCAATGGCAAACTTAATTGGAAAGCCTTTCTGGGACCATGGATCTCAAATCTGTAATCCCAGCCATTCAGGAGATGGAGGCTGAAGGATCAGAAATTCAGGATTTTCCTTAGCTATATAGTGAATTGGAGGCCAGCTTGGACCTCACTATACCCTAAAACAACAAAAAACCAAATAATAGAAAGCCTGTCTGGTTTTTCTCTGGATGTGAAACAGGTCTGAGCTTCCCCACCCCCTTTTTACATTAGTGCTGTCCCAGCTATTTCACTGACTCAGCATGTTGCCTGCTCTGAGAAGCACCCAGAGCCAGCCACTTTGCTCACAGCCAGCTGCCTATGTACATAGTCCTTTGAAAGATTTCTTGATTTTCTCCCACTATCATGTCACAAAACAGCACTTTCATGAATATGGCTTACACCTTTCCCCTCTTGGAAAATCCTAATGCCTGGATAAAGGGTTAGCACAGGGACACCCTACAGTTCACAGTAAGATACAGAGAGGTCAGATAGGCTCTAGAAGGGAATCCTGAAGCAACAGACTCAACAGAGCTTGGAATAAGTACTGGCAGTTTTCAGAGCCCCCTGTGACCACTGTTTTCATTGCTTAGACCTCCCCACTCAGAAAATACCTTTGATTAATGAATTCATGAAAACATAACCAGCCTTACTTCAGATAGGTGGAGAATAAGACAAAAACTAAGAACGACTGGAAAAGCTCTTGTTTTTCATCTGCAGAGTCCAAACCCAATGGTGAAGATCCTGTGTTAAGAGTTCTTTATAAGTAGATAAAACTGGGCTGTGTGAGAATAAACACTGATTCTCTGAGTATGCTTGTGTTGCTACAGTGAACTAAACTGGGGTATTTATAGTTAACTTAATCCTCCCCTCAGGGTTTCTCTTTGTAGCTCTAGCTGTCTTGGACTTCCTTTTGTAGACTAGGCTGCCCTTGAACTCAGAGATCTGCCTGCTTCTGCCTCCCTGAGTGCTGGAATTTCAGGCATGTGCCACTGCACCGGGCTTAGTAGTTCCGAGTCTGGTGAGGCATTTTGTTGCTTCTTCCTTTTGTGGTTAGGTAGATGGACAGGACTTCCCCAAGTGCCTGTGTGTACGAGTGTGCATTGGTTCCCTGGAACTGGAGTTGTGGGTAGTTGCCGGCTAACTGATACAGCTGCCTGGACTGAACCCAGGTCTTCCAAGAGAGCACAATGTACTCTGCTGGCCATTAAGTTTTAACACGTGACTCTTGGGGGTGATTTTTTGACTGTGGCACCACTAATATGACATTAAAATTCCCCCCACGTTGGTGCTTGTTTTGTTTTGAGACAGGGTGGCACTATGCAGCCCCAAGGAGCCTTTGTAGCCCAGGCTGGCTTCCAGCTCTGATCCACCTGCCTCTGCCCCCAAGTGCTGGAATTTAAGGCACGTGTCACCACACCCAGCAACTCTGGAGACTTTTATTCAAAATAGGAATAATTCTTTTCCTCTGAATAAATACCCTCGAGTAATCCTCTAGTCTCCCTACTCCTTACGGTGTTAGTTTTAATAGTGATTTGAATATTACATGGTCCTACGAGTTTGTATTTTTGTGGATTTTTAAAATTCTAATGATTTTCTATACCAGGCTCTTGTATGTGGCATTTTAAATCTAATCTGACTAGTTTTTTCTTTTCACTATATTATTATTCAGTGACCATTTAATGTCATGATTGGCCTGATTTTATTTGGCTTCACTATTTTCTCTGTTTCTGAGTCTCTCTGGTCCTTTTATCTTGTCAAGTCAAAAATTAATCATAATACATTTATTAGGATTATCATATTTTAGCCGTATCTCTTAAATAATTTTTAGTTGTGTTAGGAATGCCGGGCAAGGTGGTGCACACCTAGAATCCCAGCCCTTGGGAGGCAGAAGCAGGCAGATCTCTGAGTTAGAGGCCAGTCTGGTCTACAAAGTGAGTTCCTGGACAACCAGAGCTACACATAGAAACCCTGTCTTAAAAAAAAAAAAAAAACTAAAACAACAAAAAGGGACCTACACTTGAATCACTAATTTGTGAGGCACTTGAGGAAGTTCAGTCATGTTGCTGCTTCAGCCCATTTTGTTATTGCTAACACACACACAGACACATGCACACACACTCTCTCTTTCTGCCCCCCCCCCCCCCCCCCCCCCCCCCCCGCTTGATCACTCTGGTTTCTACTTGCCATGCCTTGGAGGGGAGATGCGGAGATCGTCTAGGAAGGCCTGCGGCACTGTGTTCCCGCTGGTTGGGGCTGCGAACAGCAGCCGCCCGCCCTGTGGCCCCTGGTGCGTGGCCGCGGCGGGTTCCACTGCAGTGAGTTCAGGACAGCCTCGCAGAGTCAGCGTCCTCTTTTTAAGACGAATGCTTCTAGAAAGGGCCTGGAAGTAAGTGCAGCTCGCTCCTTCCGAGGCCGGAGCTCGGAGCCTGCGCGGAGTTGCAGGACCGCCCCATTTTTGTCCAGTTCAGAGTTCTCTTTCTAGAAGTAACCATTCCAGGGTTCAGCTGTCGCCCGACCCTGTTAATGCGTTAAAATGTTTTAAATTTATGTTTTTATTTTATTTTATTTTATTTAGGGAGAAGAAAGTAAACGAATAACGACACCAAATCTTATTTCTCTTTGCATTAGCTCGCGGCGAGAGTTAAAAGTAAACCTTTGGGGTCCGTCACCGGTGTGGCCACTGTCAGAAACTGATGAGGAGGTAGCAGGGACCTTTTATCAACTCAAGCCAAGGGCGTGAATCCTTCACCTGAGATTACTCGAATTTTCTTCTCGGGTCGCTTACTTTTTCTAATAGTCATGTCTCAAAGGAAATCACCCGACCAAAAAAGACCCCGTAGAAGCTTATCTGCCAGCAAGACTACAAAAAGCCAATCTCCTTCGATTATTTCGTATTTTAACAGCGCACCTACTAAGCTTGCATGTTCAATTTGTCATAAAATGGTGCCCAGGTATGACCTAATCAGGCACCTTGATGAGTCTTGTGCTAACAACGGTGACGTAGTTCAGGTTGATCCTGTTCACTCTGGTTTAACGAATCCAATCGTACCCATGTCAGATCTACCCAGTACTGCTTTAAAAAAAGCAACACCTCAGAAACTGTCAGCACGAAAGAGAAGTTTAGTCCCTGTCCAGTGCGGCTCAAAACTGGGCATTCAATGGCAGACAAGTCCCTACTTTAAAGATGAGTGCAAATATCAAAATGAGCTTCCAAGTCAGAGTGTGGAAATTATGTCTTTGGGAAGTCTGTCATCTAAATTATCCAGAAAATATGTAAAAGCTAAAAAATCACTGGATAAGAATGAGGGACTAGCCAGTCACGGCTCACAGAGTTCCCCATCCACACCCGGCACCAGCCTGGTTGAAAACTGTTCAGAGATGGAGGACAAAGATGAGTTTTTGAACACTTCCCAAAAGGAAAACATCTTTTCATGTGTGTCTCTAAAGGAAGAGAATGCTTCAGGACATGAGGTAAAGGGCAGTAAAACAATGGAAGATGAAAGCCAAAAAGCTTCCTTTGGGGAACCAGCACCCACGCCTGCATCCGAACATCATGCTCCCATATTACGTTCATCAGATTTAACTCTTAGGGAGAACGTAAAGTCTGCTTCAGGAGACAGTCTTGTAAAGCAGGAGGATGCCAGAGGGGTCGGGGTGGCCATTGCTGGACAGCTTGAGGCATGCAGCTATGAAGAGGCACAGATGACTGTTGATGCTGAGGCTAAAACGACCGTGTTGCATGACGACGTGGACTCAGACAGGCCCACGGACACTTCCAGGTTCCGTAACAACCAGGAGCTTCCTCGGGAAGCTGGCTGCCCCCTGACGCAGGAGTACAGCTGTGGTGTGCCCAGTGAGACAGCCCGACCCCCACCCATTCCCCCGTACTACCTGAGGAGCTTCCTGGTGGTGCTGCAGGCCACCCTTGAGAACGAAGAGGACATGGAGCTGTTCGATGACCAGGAGAAGGGGATTATAACCAAGTTTTACCAGTTGTCAGGTAGCTTCAGCCTGCTTGCTTTCGGAGTTGTCTTCCGTATCTGATTTGTGGGCCACATGAGGGGTAGCGGTCTAAGGACCACAAGGAGTCTCGGTGGGGTGTTGTGGGACTCTGCACTACGTCAAGGATGGTTTTTGTGCATGGTGATCTCTGCTGTGCAAGCATACATCTATAACTCAAGTGCTAGTGGCTTGCTTATTCTCCTCCCCACTTTGTTTTTTCCAGACAGGGTTTCTCTATGTAGCCCTGGCTGTCTTAGAACTCACTCAGTAGACCAGGCTGGCCTTAAGCTGAGAGATCTGACTGCCTCTGCCTCCCTAATTCTGGGAGTAAAGGCTTACCTGGCTCGTGCTGTCTTATTGTTGTATGTCTGTTTTGATGATAGCAAAGCAATGTCCAGTGTCCACAAACAAAAACTACATTGCTGGCATAGGGAAGTGTAATGGTGTTTCTGTTCTGTCCCATTGAGCATGCTTTCTGTTTTCACATCCAGTGTCTTTAAGAATGACAGTAAAATAAAATGTAACTAATAATACCAAACAATAAAAAAAAAAAAAAGAATGACAGT